GGAGTCTCTTTGAGGTGCAGCATTCTCTGCTCACCTGTTGRCCATATGTGCTTTGGGTTCACCTCTGGACTGAGCTGATAACAGCATTCAGAGTTTCCAAATTCAGGCCTTATATAAGGGCAGAGAGTTGCCTTAAACCCCAGATTAAGGTGGGGTTTTAGAGGGGCTGCTATTGTGTGTATTGCATTGTGAAATATTCCTGCAGATCCCTTGAGTGCCAAGTGTTTCAGCAAGGCTTTAAGTATCTTTTAGGGAATTTTTTGGAGTGTGATTGTTCGTTTTTGAGGAAACACCTGTTATCCACGTTTTAGGGGCAGGGCAGTGAGCTCAGGAATGATGCTGTTTGCAGAGATTTTGGGGAATAATGCCCCTGACTTGATTYCTGTGAGCATTAATTGTGTGTTGTAACTCCTGTTCAGCTTTTTGTAGAAGAACACAGGTGAGCCTKAAGGACAGGCTGCAGGGTGGTGGATAACTGGTGTATCTAAACCCCAGAAAAACATCACAAAAGCACCCAGATGAATGAAGTAGGAAGAATTGTGACAATTTTTGTGTGGTGGTGTAGAATCCTGCTTTGATCAATCCACTGATCTTTTGGGTGTAGCCCTGACTGTGGTGCACTGAGCAGACTCGTGGCTCTGTCCCTCCTTTGGGGGAAACTTGGGAATGTCAGGCATGGGATCAATCACAGGAGAGCAGCAGGAGGTTGCTCTGAGCTGTTCCTCAGGCCTGGAGAAACCTTTCACCTTAATTCCCTGATGCTCAGCCTGGGCTGGACGCTGGAGAAATCCAAATTTGGATTTTCTTGGGTATATCCCAAGCTGAAAGGTGTATCCAGGGTGGACAGTGCATGTAGGTGATGCTAGGTGTCCTAAATTTGCATCCCAGCAGTCACATCTCTGTCTGTCCTCCTGCTTTCCTCAGACTTTTCTCCTACCCAATAATTTTTTTCAAAATGGTTGGTTCTCAGTACAGAGCCCTTGTGCACTCAGAGATTATTTGCCAGTTGTGACAGCTCTGCAGAGTTTTGTCCTGGCCAGTAGCCTCAGCAGATGCGTTGTGTTGACTTCCTGAATCCAATTTGTAACAATRATGTTTTTCTCACACTGTGTTTCTGGATCCAATTTTCCTGCTTTCCCTTCCCCATAGCCTTCTCCAAGGACACCCCATGGAGATCTCTGCCCTGCACACCACCAGTTTCCTTCTRTTTCCCTTCTTACACTGCCTGAATCCCCCTGTTTTGGGATTAAATTTATGGGAGATGGCTGTAGGCACTAAAAGTCATTTATGAGACAGACTAGTGACAATCTTGGGCAGCTTTTCTACATGAGACTCTCCTGCTAAAAATCGAAAGCCCAAATGTAAAATTTCCTAAGCTGCTTGATTTATTTGATTCATTTCCTCCATCTGTTCAATTTCAAAGCCATTTAGRAAGATCATTTGCACAAACATTTAAGTTCTCTTTAACTAAAGTCAACCAATGTGTTTTTTAAATGAGCTGGAGTTCATGAGGAAGATTCAAACATTAGCTGTGTAAAGAAGGCAATTAGTGTTGGTGCAATATATTGAAAATTAKCCCAAGGCACTGGAGAAATACATGTTTTACACATGTATTTTTTCATCCAATTCCATAGTTTGGATTAGATCCTGACACAGATGATTCTAGAGGATTCAAACTGTGAAAGAGGTTGTGATTGTCTATAAAAAGAGGGGTTTAATCTCTAATGTAGTTGGTCTTGCTCTGTGTATTTGCTCACTCAGGAAAAGCCTTTTTTTTCTGCTGTAGTATGTCAGGGAAGCTTATCTGCATGTAAACAGCAAAATGAGACCTCTCTGGTGTTGCAGAGGTTGAACTTCTCCWGTTTAAAAGTTGAGCATTTCTAAAAATGTATTAATGATGTCATCCTGATAAGAGGAGATGCTCCTCTCCCTTTCTCATGGGGTGATACTTGCCATAGATTTTAAAGCTGTCACAGGAGTAGGAAAAAACTGTCATAATCGTAGGAATCAGTGGAAAAGTTTTATTGTAATAACTGTTGGGGGAGCAGCTGTCATGTTATCTGCAATAAGGGTTGTGCACCCATTATCAGGAGCGTTTGATGGGAATTTGGGTCAAAAGAAGGACCATTTTCCTGAAGAGGAAGAAATAGGAGCTGTTGGTACAACCATGGATAAAGCACTAGTTAAAAACTTAGGAGTATTTCCAAAAATACAAATACACCCATAGCCATTAAGYAAAATACTATTTTTTCTTATTGTAATAATTTAGTGTTTGATTCTTACAGGACAGATCACGAAACAAAAGAAATGGTTTGTGAGGCTCTGGTGCCCAAATGGACATAAAYGTGCTTTCTGCAGTTGATTATGTGAAAGTATTTGTTGTTTATCTGAATTATTGTGGTGTATATAGAGCAGAACCTTTCAGGAAGTCAAACTRAAACTTTTGTTTGTTTCTACAAGAGAATTCACTGAGTGAAAGTCCATATGGAATTTTGGATGCAGGAATTGCAATGACTCGCCTTCACATGTAGAAGAGAGCATATGGTTTTGGTAATAGGTTAATAAGAGCAATTAACCTCATAGTGCACTCATTTGTTGGTCTCAGTTGTTTATAAACTAGGCAATAAAGGTATTTTAACATCCTATAGTTTTATAGGAGATTAGTGAAATCAGGCTGTGTTTTTTGAGTTTTAATGCCAGCAGTACTCAGGTGATACTGTGATAAAAACAGAATTTCTAGAGGGTAGAAGATTCTGAATATTTTGTGGTGTGTGTGACCAATGAGTATCATCACAAATGTTGAAATACACAGAAGAGTTCAGAGAAATACAAACATTTGTTAAAGGTTTCCATTAGCAGAGGGACTCTTTTCCCAGAATGCCATCACAGGTCTGTCACCCAGCTTGTTCTTGTCACCTTGCAAAAACTGTAAAGAGAATTGTTTCCAGGCTCAATTTATATAGAAAGGGATTCTAAACTTACCTTCTTTTTCTTCTTGAGGATGAACCTCATAAAAGAACGGGCTAAAAAATCAGCAAGCACTGTCATTGTGTGGTTTGGTTTGTTTTGAAGGATTTGGAGCAGAAATCCCAGTTTTTCTGTTAGGAGCTGCTGTGTTTGCCTGGCAAACAGAGCAAGTTTGATATGAGCAGGTTGGTGTTGGCCCCACAAACTGCACCCACCACAAAAACCCTTTTCACTTCATTCTCTGTTGGCTCCTCACACTTCAGACAGGGTTATTTGTTGTCCAGTTGGGCACCTTGCTGCAAAGGCAAGTGACACCAAGGGCTGAGTGATTTTGTTTTGCAGGTATTGTGGTTTCTAGGCTGGTGGTGACAGGAAAAGGGATGTTTTCACCATAATAGTTTTTTATCTCATTCTATAACATTTTCAGTCAGCCTTTTGGTCTCCTGCTTTTGTGCAATATTTKTTTTGCAAACTTCTGCCTATTTATTGGTGATGTTCCAAAAGGAGCCTCTCAATCAGCTCATTTGCAGGTTTAACTRGAGCAGGTAAAGGATGCTGTATCGTGGTTATTTGTGTTTTGTCTGGTTTGCTGTTAATTGTCTGATTTTTACCTTATGTTTTGGTTATAAGCTGTTTTATTATGTTWATCTGATGATAACCCTAATGAGCTGTGGTTCTTTTTATTTATCCTAAATTTGAACATAAAGACAATAATTTTTTTCTTTAGATTTTCTTCAGAGGCTTCCACAAAACCTCTCTATACAAATCTGTGGTCTCATTTTTTTCTCTTTCACTGAATTAACTGAACAATGTATTTGCTGGTGCAGCATTCACCAAATGTGAGGACTCTTTTGCTTTATTAGACTTGACAGTGTTTAAACAATACTAATTCTCATACCCAGCTGGCTTTTCAACTGATTTCTGTGCTCTCTATTGCTGTGTAAAACAAGCTGGAACATTAATGGCATCTTGCATGCTACCCTCTGGAGACCTATTTTTCTTTAGAGAAAATCAACTAATTGTGGAAGTTTCTTTGTTTTTTCTCTTTATATATTTTTTTCTTTCTTTTCAAATGATACTTTAGTGTACTGTCAGATTTTGTATGTGTTACAATACTAATTTTCAAGCACATAATTTTAAAAAGTTTTATAGCAAGAGTTACTGTTTGCTCATTTTTYAATAGAAATAAATGCCTCTTTCTTTATGGAAACCAGAATATGCCAGTTTTAAAAACATATTGAAGATGTACATAAATGTGCTATTTTAACCCAGCTGAARTTTTGCATATTGAAAATGTGTTTGCTAAAAACCATTTGCAGATGTTAGTCATTTCTTCACCCTCTCCCTTTTAAAAGTATTGAAGAATTTCTCACATGACATAAAAACAGACATAAAAACTCCTATTTTTTGAGCCTGTAAATATAAATATAGCCCAAGCTTTAAAACATTTGCTTCTGAAGAGTGAATTTTGTCATCTGTGATGGGCTGCAGCCATTGCTGAGGTGGCCATTGCAGTACAAGTCTCTCTTTCCAGTCCTTCCAGTCCTAATTTCATATAAATTTTAGTTATAAATTGTAAATTTTAGTTATAAATTGTGAAATATCAACTTTCTGAAACCCAAACCTGACTCCTGTCCCCTCCACGTCCCCAAATACTCAGGTAACCCTGCAGCAGGAGTAAGGATTTGGGATGCTCAGTTGTCCTGGTCAAATGAGGACAATGACCTCTCATAAAGGACTGACCAAAGCTGGGGGGTTGGACTTGATATTTAACTTCAAGSAATCAGTGCTTTCTGAGAAAAATTTATAACTTTCTTGGCTGTAAGATCTTCCTGTAATTTTCTTCTGCACAGAAGCCATGTGGCCTTGTACAAAATGTGTGCCAGTATCTTCCTCCCACACTGCCATGAAAATTCCGTGTCGTGCATGTAAAGTCACTTGGAAGCACTGTAGGGAATATTTCCTAAATGAAGAATGTTTTGATATCACTGTATTCCCTTTTAACCTTTTTTTTTTTTTTTTATTTTCTACAGCTGGTCTAAAAATCCAGAAGAATGGAAGTTTCAGAAGACAAGACAAACGTGGCTTCTGCTGCACATGTATGATAAAGAGAAGGTTTGTATTCATGTTGGTTTTTTTTTCTCAGAACAAATATGATATAGTCTTATACATTAGTTATAGCTGTTCTTTATTAACCAAAACTTCCTAGTACTACCCATGCACTTGTCTAATAATTTTTTAATAATTTATAAATTACTTTGTTTCTAACCAAGATGCTGAAGCATTTTAATAGCTTCTCATTGGTCTTTGTATTTTGTGGGTGATGATTGTCCTGTGCATGCTAGATTTTTATACTTGATGTATATCAAGCATAAATAGAGTAGATTCATGTTTTATTTAAATCTGAGAATTTGAGTCATATCCTTAATTTGAAATTCCTAATGTGGATCCCAACAGTGCAAAGCACAGATCTCATCTTGTTGCAGMTATCCCTGGCTCCACAGAAGATGTACAGCCCTACTGCCAGGATGTTAAAATAGCTCTCTCATTTAAATATAACTGAAACCTGATGTTGATTGTGAAAAGCATAAAGTATAACCAGAAGCCAGGCTTGCATCCATACTGAAATCATTTCATAACTTAAAAACCAACATAAATTGCATTTCCAATAAGCATCTGACCATCATGGTGTCAGATGAGGCTTTCAGGTCATTCATTTTGTTGTGCAGTAGAACAAACATCTGCCCATTTGCACAGTGCCTCACTCTTTGGCTCATTTTGTTGACATTCAGTTAGGTTTTGCTGATTTTTTTGTGTGCACTTGAACATTTACTCGTACCAATCTTCCTGACCCAAATTAGTCAGCAGCTCTTWAGCCAATCACCTGACATTGGGTGTTACCTTTTTAGACAGCCAGATAATTAACAGCAGAGTTTCACCATGGAAGAAATGTTCACATGGTGTAAATACTTCAAAAAGATGAATTGTAGAACACAAATTTGATTTTGGTTTCTGGGTTGTTTGCTCTCTTTTGTTTTTTATGTTTCTCCTTTAAAAGTCTTTATCAACCTTTCAAAATCAATGTATGCYCTTCAAAGCTACCTAGAAATTTGGCAGGCAGAAGGATGTTTTTACTTTTTTTACCTGTTTACTTTGGGGTTTGTGTTGAAATATRCTTGGACACAATGAACTGTAAGTAGCATTTGTTTCATGTATCAAAACACAGTTTAACTCCTTATTTCTCAACAGTGAGATGAAACTTCCTTATTTTTATTCTGATCAAAGTGCAGTGATTTATTAAAATTCACATATTTTGTAGTTTAATGATCAGAGGAGCATTGAATATGAGCTTCAGAGAATGATTAACATCTGCATCCAGATTCAGTGAAGTTAGTRGAACTGCTCAAGTGCTTATAATTAAACATATGATGAAGTCTCTTTCTTCATCAGGACCATAGGGAGGGCACACCCAGCTCCTTTTGAATATTTTTTATACCCAAATCCATCTTCCTGTCCATTAGAGAATAAAATCTGTTGGTAATCCAAGCATGACTAAAGTATAAAAGGAGACATGAGTTTCTTTCCTTCCTAAGCCACATCTTTGATCTCATGGTGTCACTTGGATGCCTACTGAAGAGCCATGCAAAGTCCTGAGCTGAGTTTCCTGTACTGAAAGGCCTCTTTCTGTAAGAAATAAGTTGAGTTTTTCAAATGGTTTGCTAGCTAAATGGGTTTTTAAGCTCCTTTAAAACCCATCTGGTGGTTGGCTGACAGYTTCCAAGCCWGGCCYRTGTACCTATGGTGTGTTTATTTCTCCAGCACCCAGAATAAAATAAACACTTGGTCATTTGTTGGTCTTCATCATCTGGCACAGCATTTTTTGGAGGTTACTAGATCAGTGTTCAGCTCCTGGACTCCAGACCTGSAGGGGTGGCTGATGCTTCCTTGGATGGTGACCCAAAATTCAACCTGGCAGCAACGAGCTGAGCTTCTCTGTGCTGGTATTTGCAAGATATGTGGGTTCTGCAAGTCTGAAAACATAATAGTTGCAGAGGATCATTTAAAAGTGATAATTGTTCCCTTCCAGCTACTCTTTTGTAGTGTTTCTCTCCTTTTCCAGAAGACGGGAATTATTTCACTTGGGGTTTTTTCCATATTAATCAGCTCCAGTGCATATTAGGAAGTTAGAACAGAGGCAAAATCAGTGTGTGGGAGGGAAAAAGAAACAAGAAAAAGGTCAAAACAGTTTAATAAAAGAATAATAATAAAATCCAATAAGCCTCACTTTGACTTCCAGAGGCCGTGGTGGGAGATCTTGATCTCCAATTTCAAACCAGCCTTGAACTGACATTGGAACAARGATTGTGTTCCTCCTTGGAAAACCTCTTCAGGACCTCTGAAATTTTGTACTACTGTACTTGAAGAATTAGAATTTGGGTTTCATTACTTTCTCTGCTGGTGCTTTGTGTGTTCCAGTCCTGGCTATGGCTCTGCTGTCTGTGGAAGGCAGAAGGAAATGTGATCTTACCTTGCCCACAGGGTGCTGTGCTGTGAGTCCTGCTAAAAAAAAAAAACCTCAGAGCTGGGTTATGTTCAAGGAAAAAAATCAGACTTTTTGAATACTTGAACACCCTCAGGGCCAAATGCTGGATGTTTTCAGGCTTCAGGCAGCCACATGTTAAGTCTGCACACTTAGGATTTCTAAATTTAGAGCAGGCTTTCAATTGCCCCTTCAAGCATTTTGCTTAAATGATACACTAAGAACCGTAGTTCCACAGGTATGTCCATGCCATGAGGTCTGAGAACAAGAACTGTAAATTATAAAGATCATTTGGAAATGTTGCTGAGCTTTAAAAGTATCTGAGTATCTGCATTGAAGGAGCACTGTCACACTGGAATTGTTTTTGTCTAAATGGGTTCATCTGTTGTTAGTACCAGCTCACTGTGAGTGAAAACTTTCAAAAATACAGATATTTTTCACTGTGTTTGATTTGTGTAGTATAGCARCACTTCATATATCATCCATTTCGGTGTTAGTCACTGTAAAATTAATTTTTTTTGTAACGGTATTGTTTCTTTAGTGCAAGAGTGTTTGTGTGAAGAATGAGAAGGTTTTCCATAGTGTACAAGTTACGAGGCTGAACKCAGGCTTTAGTTTTGATTTATTGCTCTGTAATATGCCTGATTGATGAAGGCAGTGTTGGAATATTCTTTCTTCCTCTTCTTCTGCAGTGATAGAAGTTTTAGTGATCAAAGTTCTGCTGCCAAATGTCCATGGAGGAATAAGTTGTAAATTAAGTGTCTGTTGAAGCTCTGTCTTCTCTGAAATGTTGATACTTTGCAGAATTGAAACCGCCCTCGAATAATTAGTCTCGAATCTTTTAAATACTTACGTATGTGTTTGACTTGACTCATGTCAAGTTATATGTGTAAAGTTAAACATGGAGAACCATATTTGCTGGGTGAGATCATTTTAACATCTCCTGATTCACGGCAAAAAATATTCTGCTATTGGCTGAACCCATTCCACAGATACACASATGAAGTTAAGATCAGTGTAAGTCTGCTCACCTATCACTTTTGAAAATACTTCAATTTGAAATACTGAATAAACCATTCCAAAGTCCTTGGTAAGCTGTTGTCAAGATTACTATAGCAATCATTTAAATTATGTGTTGTACCAGATACACAAAAATTTAATCTCTGACTGGTTAATTAGCAAGGGAGTGAAACACGGGCAATGCAACTGTAGATGACTAAAGTGATTTTAATGTTAGACATGTTGGTAGAGCCTATCAGTTTTAGTCAGCATGATTTAAAAATTATTTCCATATGTCTGAATTTCAGTTTGTTTTTCAAATTTTCTATTTCTTTGCATGAGCATTCTGTCAAAATGTGCAATGGTGGGTGGTATCTCATCCTAACAAACAATTTTTGGGTAAGGGGGAGGGGAATTCCAGCAAAATTCTTTCCTCAGACATGTGCATGCAATTCTCACCGAATTTAGTGAGATCTGCATCTGTGTTTCCAAAAGAAGGGTTTGGCTGATGTGTTTTGTTTTTTTTCCTTGCACCAACCCTCGGATCTTTGGGCTCCCTGTCAGGCAGTGTTTGCATTTGCTGATCAACATTTCCACATCTGCTGAGCATTTCCTCTCTGATGCTTTGCCCATCCCAGCACATGACAGTCCTCTCACCAGGCTCCATCCCTCCTTGGCAGGAAACAWTTCCACTGGGATTTCCACTGGAAGCTGGACCTTAGCAAGCACCAAARCCTGTGCCATTCTCCTGATTTTCTTTCTGGTGATGCTGCCACRTGATCGTGAATAGATATTGAGAATATATATATTTGTTTTTTCTTTTCAGGTTCCAGACAAGTATTTCACCATTTTACTGGATTACCTGCAAGGGCTTCAGGGTGGTGCACGAGACAAAACGGTGCAGAAAGCTGAAGCTTTTATGAAAGAATTTGATGGTTCTGATGGGGAAGACCCAAACCTGCTGGAGAAGTGTGAGCGCATCAGACAAGTTCTACAGCTGCTGTCCTGAGAGTATTTTTGAGTCATAATTGTTGTCTGGTGGAGGGGAGGAGAGGATGTCTCATACAGAAGTTGTAAAGGATTTGTAAAGATAATACTACATTTTATACTCATGGTTTTTTTCCAGTTGAAAATATTTATCGTGTTTGGAGCTGATGAAATAAAAATAACATATATAGCCCACAGTCTTGCTATTAATTTTACTGCACAGCTTTAGAAAAACAAACCTCTCTCCCTCTCATTAGTTTTTCTCCATCTCCCCCTGTAATTACTGTTAAATACGAGGAACTTTGCAGATCTTAATAAGAAGAGCAAAATAACCAGCATGAAGCCTGGAGGGTCTTTTACAATGGCAGCTTTTAAAATGAGTGTACAGTACAGTGCGTGCTYAGCCAGCTGTAATCTCTCACTTTCAGCTTCACAAGGATGTCATTTGGATTGGGGAAAGATCATTTTCAGTCTGTTGAGCACGGGTTGTRTGACACAGTTGCTTATTAGTACTTCACGCAGTGATCTGGAGATACTGTCAGCTTTGCTGATTTTCTTTTTGAATTTTAAAGTTTTCAAATGCATCAGGGCAATTGTTTGGATACTGAGATAATGCACRGATGGGAACAGATCAAATCTTTGACTGTGTGTGGTGAAATCATCAGATTGTACCTAAACTTACCCTACAATCAGAAGTGCTGTGCTCTATCCATCCTGTCCATATTGCATTTTCCTCTTCCTCCTGCAATTGGCATCCAAAAGAATTAATTCCTGTTCATTCCTTTTGGCAAGGGACATTTGTTTCTTAGGAACGTGCTGAAAATGAGGCTTTCAAGTAAAAACCAAGGACATTAATTACTCAAAAGTTGGATGATTGGCTTATTTAATAACACTGGTATTCAGACAGGGTTCCTGACCTGATTCTTTAATGTTTCTGCAAACAGTGTTCATACTTTATTAATAAYGACTATATGAAATGTGTGGTGTTTYAGAAGAGTGGCTGTCTTTGGGAATTACAGCTTTAATTTGGGTGGGTAAGGGAGAGGAGGATCTATGGATATTCAGGCCTGGTTTTTCAATAAGAAGCATTTGAGTGGATTTGACAGCCTTCACAGTCACGGCTTAGTACAAATCTTTAAAAGTATGAAATATATTACTAATAACAAATACCTTATGCTTTCTCACTTGCTGAGGAGGATGTTTTCAGCCAAAAAAGACTAGAAACCAGCATGCCCTTCTCTTACAGAATACCTGGATGGAGTTTGGCACAAGAATGGGCAGAATTGAGCAGCAGTGTCCAGGTTCTTYTTTCAGCTGCTGTTGGCTGAGAGCTGCAGAGGAGGCAGAGCCAAAGCCTTTCTGGGTGTGTGGCACTGTTCTTCCAGTGAGAAACCTGCTGAAAAGGATCTGTAGTAAAAACAAGTGATCCTGACATTTAGTGGACTCATAAAGATCATTGGGTCATATATTTTACATGTGAGAATACGCAGCTGGGRAAACCTGCAGTCACTCCAAGCAGAAGCTTTTTTCTTACCATCAGGGAAAACAGGAATTTTTCAAGGATGAATGAAGTTTTCAAAGTCTCTTTTTGTGAGTTTATCATTGCGTGTTAGATGTCAGAGAAGAATTTTTKCTCTCCTTCRAGATATTTGAGTGTTACCACTTTTGATTTCTCTGTCACACAAAACTGTGGGTCCTCATTGTGCACCTAACATACCCTATGACTTAAAAGCACAAGCACATTGCAACTTTGGAAGAGAACTGTACAGAGATAAAGGTAAGATCTGGGCAAAAATATGGGAATTTTTTATGATTTTGACATATTTGGCAAGATTTGCTTTCTTGGACCTTAGTTCTGATCGTGTGTAAATGCTGACAAATCTGTAAGAGAAGGTTTGTGGATCAAGAGTGTCATATTTCATTTTATATCAATTAATATTAAAAGCACACAATCTGGGCTTGCCAATCTGGAGGCCACATGAGCAGCAGTATTTGGAAAAGAATAGTAAGAGCCTTTCACCATCTTCCTCAGCTGCAGTTCCAGCTTTCCACTGGTTTTTGGTGAAGGACATGGTCTTGGGGCTTTGCTTCTTGCAGTTATGGAAAATCCAGAAGCTCCAGTTGAAGGAAATCGTTGCTGTGGTTGTGTTTGGCAGAGAAAGCCAAGCTTGTTGCTTTTTGCCCTGTGTCTCCTGGTGTAGGTACTGTCCAATGGTCAGAGGGGTCTTGAAATTGGGTAAAAGATCTGTAAAACTGCTGCTTGGTACTGTTGTGTCTTGCATTTCAGAGCTCAGTATGAAATATTCTATAAGTTGTCTGGTGCTTGATGYTGTAGTGTAAATAAGAAAGGACACTTTAATTGCATTTTGTTTTTTTACTTTGTGCATTTTCTTCAAGAATCTTCATCTGATTGGCAAATGAGTCATCTCCACAACAGCCAGGAAATAGAGGAACACACGTTTTTGGGAGATCTGTATTGCTAGAGCTGTTTTAAAGATAAGGTTGTGAGGACCCAGACAGCCCACCCCACACTGTGCAAATCTTGCCTTGCCCATGTGCTATCCACCATGCCAGCCTCTGTTCCTGCTCAGCTTGGCATTTCCATCCCTAGATTTACAYTGTGTGATGAGTAAGTATAGAAAAATCTCCTCCATCTTGCATTTGAAATGATTTCTCTTAAATTATTAAGTGTGTAATCAGTTACTGAATTCCTGTTGCTGGTTGGAGCTGTGTGGGGAGATGTAATCTGGCACTTTATTCCATTTCTGTCATTTGGTCACATACAGTTTTCAAATCTCAACGTTTTTTTATATCTTAGGCAATCACAGGCGTACAGATAGGACAAAATCATGTCTTTGAGTCAGTCTGCTGTGTGAATAAAAAGTGCATCCCAGGCTAGAAGTAGCAATGTGTACAGAATTTCAAATTCCATCTTCATCTGCCTACACTAATCRCCTTCTAGTCGAGTTAATCTGCATTGTGGAGCTCTGGCTAGCAGAATGCATGTCCTAAGAGAATGCTGAAGTCAGGACTTCCAGGCAAAATAAAGGAGCATTAATTACTTAGAATTGCTTAAAGCTGGAACTGTGCCTCTAATGGAAGTATTAATTACTCAGAATTTGACGGTGGAAAAAGTTCCCTTTAATTTGGCTGATCTTGCTGTGGGTTGTGTATCTATTTGGTTCTCTGCTGTCTGCACACAATTTTAGTTTGTTATCACTACTGTAAAATTACTGGGTAAATGAATTCTCTGTTTGTATTTGGAAAGGGCATCTCGTAGTTGTTGAATGTGTAGTTATTTCCTTATTTCACTGGAGAATTACTCTGCTGTGTTTCTCTTGATTTTAAAGCAAGGTGACTATTGACTCATCTCCCATTATTTCAAAGAGCTTAGAAATGCACGTCTTTGCTTTGAGCTTGGGGGTGTTGGTTTTGTTTYGYGGGKTTTTTTTAAATTTTGMCACTGAGTAAGGCAAAATAACAAACGTTAAAATCTACTCCCATGTCTGCAAATCAGTGTCAGAAACAACAGTCRTAAAAGAGATTTAAGTTGCAAAGTCAAGCACTCAGAAAATTAGAAAACATAAGAATGGAAATTGTCTGTGTAATTTCAATTTTACTCCTTCACGCATATGTGGTATGATGCAATTTCTTAATTACATCATCAGGGCCGTGTTTTCCTTTGTGTGTAACTGGGAAGTCATTTATTCAGTGTTTTCCTTGCTGCTCTTCTCATTTTCAAAATGTAGGTCCACAAAGAAGACCCAAAGCCAGAGGAGTGACTTTGCAGTGGGGCTTTGATCCTGCACAGAAATGAGTGGTAACTTTCCTATTCCTTTGGTGTAGGAACTAGTCAGAGATGTTTCATCACAAATGTTCCCTTTAAAACATGTTTTAATGTTCTGATTCATTTACAGTCAAAATACCGAATTGATGTTACTTAATTTAAATCCATTTTTGTTGACATAAAACTTTCCAGTGGCTTATTCTGGTTTAGCCTTTGGTTTCCTTTTATGTCTTCCTTTCTGTRCAGCTGAATGAGCTTGTTATTTCTGTCCCTGCAAATAGGAATATTAGTTGTTTACAGTGATTCCAGTCATACAAGGACACAATTAAATGTCCTTGCCCRTGCAGGACGAGCTCATTTTCACAGTGATTTATAATTATGTTCTATTTTAAATTCTTCATAAGAACCTACACAGTCAACAACTTAATGCGGTTTAAAATAATTWTTTTTTTTTGAAATAYGKTTTTTTTTTCCCCCTGCAAGGAGCAGGGAACAGCAAACTAAATAAAACTAATTAGTAAATGGTGGGGGAAGGGCAAAGCAAAACAGTGGTTTATCTTTCTTTGTCAAAACAAAGCTGAATAAGAAGCTTGTGCTGCTAAAAAACTTTAASTGGTGTTAGACATAGAGGGAGGGCCCTCTGGGTACAAACAGAAGAACACTCATACAGTTGCTCTTATTGATTTTTTTTTTCCCCTTACATGCAGAAAATTTTTGGCATTCCCTAACAAAACCCACGAAAACACCTACGTCAAAGAGTTAAATAGGTTTCAAAATCAAATACTTAAAGGTCAAGAAATGCCACATGTATATAAATGGCYAGAAGAATTAAAATTCTACCTCTCTGTGCCTCCAGCCTGGAGACTGAATGAAGGGGGATTGTGTTAGAGGCAAACAAGAAAAAAACCCTAAATTATGTGAGCACATAGTTAAAATTGCCAGTTACCCTTCTATTCACAGGAAGGTGGAGTTACGTTCCCTAATAGCTTCAGTTATTCAGGATTTTTTATGAAGATTTGCTGCTAATTGAAATATCACATTTGTGACAACTTACATCTATTCTCCTCRTGTTCCCACGTGTGTTTTATAAAATTTTAAGCCATGGGACACAGGATCTGTCACTCCTATTTGCTCACAAATGGCCAGACCACTGTGAAAACCATCATTTGCTGTTGAGTTCCTTTGGAGCCAAAGGATGTTGGCACTGTGTTGGTCTGGAGGTACAACAGGCTTTGGCAGCATCTTTTGTATCAGCCAGGCTTGCTTAAGCTCCATGAAATTGCCCAAATCTGTTGCAGGGATGGTGCTGATGGAATTYTCCAGGCCAGCAGTGATGTGAGCCCATGGATGCTGCAGGGTCCTGGCTGCTTGGGGTGCTCAGACCATGGCTCAAATGCTTTTCATGGCCTTTGCTCCCTATTCTTGAGCTGCTGGGAGTTGCCACCATTTTATTTATCTGCTTTCCATGGGCTTAGTCGGACTAAACAAATAGTTTTAAAGCTATTATGACATATTGAAACCTTCCCTACAGCGATGGTGTTTCTCTGGTAGCATAGATACGTGTAAACAGACTCCATGGATTTCACACAGGCCCCTTTATTAGAAGCAGAAGCTCTTGCAGGATCCTGGAAAGGACTGAGCAGCATCCTGATTTACCTTGTTAAACAGGACTGGTATTTCCGTGAGCTGTCACAAATAAATGCTCACAGACAGGCACAAGGACAGGCCAGGAGCCATGTTTGGGCATCAGCTGTGCCAGAGGGCAGGGATGGGGTGAGGAATGTGCCCTCCTGAAGTTCCCTGGTAAAGGCAGAATGCCACCTGGCACCAATCCTGGCTGCCATAAGGTTAAAAATAACAAATAGCATCCCTATTGCATACGGAAGTCTTTTGTTGTTGTTTAATGGGGCGCTGTGATATGCTGGGAAGAAAAAATACGGAGCTTCTCTGAATTCTTACTCGTGGTTAGTGCTTAGGGCCAAAGCAGCTGAAAATCCAGGGGTGATAGCAAGCAGGGCCCTCTGTATGAATTACTGGCATTAAAAAGGCAAAATCTGGGTGAAATTCCAGTGTCTCAGTGTGCTCAGCAGCAGCCTCAGCCCAGTTCATTGCACTGGTGACATCTCAGCGCCAGGAAGG